CGTGGGGTTCCCCCCCCCGCGGGGCGAGCCGGGGGGCGGCTGCAGCCCGCGAAAGGCGCCCTTGCCACCCCCGCCTGCTGCGAGGGCTTCACGCCAGGGGAAGGGGAAAGGCCTCGGTAGCCGAATCGCTCCCCTTGTTGCGGGGGGTAAGAGGGGTGTTGCCGTCGCCTCCTCGCCTGGGGAATGGTGCTCGTATTGCTGTTAAAGAAAAAAGCACACTCGGTGCTTTTAAACCAGTAGATCTATCTTTCTGCGGTGGCAGTGACACTGTTTGTAATGTGTGAGTAACAGGGCGGCAGCTGAAGCAGCAAAGGTTGGCAGGTTTAGGGCATGTAGAGGGGTTAGGGCAGAAGTTTAAAAACAGTTACCCATTTTCCCTTAAGATAAAACTTTAACTGAACTAAATAGAGAAGGTGTGCCAGGTGCTGTCTGTGAAGAATGCATTTAAAGCCATTCTTCTCTGCCCCCTTTGGTCTCTGATGTTCCATACATCTTCCTGTTTTGTATCTTTTACATGTTTGTTAACTGTGACATACATCATATGTGCATTTTGTAAGTTGGAGCTTTTCCTACAGTTTGCTCCACAGTTCTGAATCTGGCCCACACAACTGATGAAACTGGAAGCTTGAAAGTGAGCTGATTCTCATAAAATAAAATAAAAAAGCAGTTATAGTTTTCTTTGAAATAACAGTACCTGACAAAAAGAAGTGTTTGAGTTGCTAACAATTCTATGCACTGTTGGAGGGTATTGCCACAGTGGAAATCAAAAATCGTATAAAATATAAGTGGGTGTTTGAAAATATGAATCAAGCCATTGACTGTAAACACTTCAATCAACTTTCTAAGAAAATGTATTTAATTATCTATAGTTCTTTAAATATTTGTTACTCTGTTCTGACTATGAGAGAAGTGATGTGAGCATGCAGAAAAACACACTTTGTAAAGTGTTGTTTTTGTGTAGAAATACATTTTGAAACAAAAAAGTGAAGCTAATCTGTAATGAGACAAGGACACAATAAGTAAGAATTCTGCTTTACTGTAGTGGGTTCTTAGATATTTTCAGGAGAAGAATATATACTGACGGTTACACATTTAAAGATCCATCCAATAACAGTAAAGGTACTAATTTGTAAAAGATGGAACTTCTTCCAATTCAATTTCAGTGAAATAGTTTGCCTTGAAAATGAGAAATTGATCTAGCGATGTACAGATCTGATACATGTATATATTCATTCCTGTGGCATGAGACGATAGTGGTGGAAAGGTTTTCTTTTTAAAAGCACTTGGACATTATTGTTCTAAGACATGAAAGCTCTTGAGCTATCTACGGTTAACAGCCAGCATAATTGTGTGGGCAGATTTCCCTACCATATAACTAATTCTTCAAGCAAAACTGCAATCTTCCATATTTGAAATAGTCTGTATGCTTATTTTCATATTATTACAGAAGATAGCATTGCCAGCATGATATCATATGTGATTGGAGAGTTTATGATTATGAACTAAGAATATAAATATTGCCAATCAAATATTTCTTGGACAGACTTGGGAGAGGGAAGTAGACTTTCTTGGTCCTTTGGAAACACTGATTTTCCACCACTAGTTCACAAGGCCAAGCACTCCCTCCCATTGAGGCTTTATAAGCACTTTAATGTAATAAGTATAACTATATACTTGTCTTTAATAGAAAGAAAAAAGTTTTGGGATATGGCCACAACTGCGTTGTTCAACTACATCCAAAATCTTGGTTATGTTGCAGTATAACATACACCACCTGTGTGCCATGTTTCAGGAGCTTTTGCATCTGAAAAAAAAATGGTGTATAAGTAAGCTTCCATGGATTGGAGAAAAAAAAAAAAAAAAAGCTCAGGGGAAGCAATACAGTAGGCTGCTACCTCCTCTACTATCATAAGGAGGATACTGTATGTGTGCTAATATATAAAAATACCTATCTTAAACTTTACACATATAACATGAAGCTGGTGATATGGTGTAGGCCTGATAAAAGATGCCAAAGATGCTAGCAAGTACTGGTAGGAATTTTGGTTGTTGCTATTCTGTGA